GGATGAAGATGAAGATGAAGATGAAGATGAAGATGAAGATGAAGATGAAAATTAGAATGTGTACTAGTGGTTGAAAAAATGTGAAACATTATAGTGCTCGAAAATGTATACTCAGGTCAAAAAAATGGTGCTTGTGCAAATATTAACTATCATTCTCTGCTTCCTAGCTGAGAAAGTGTACTTGGAGTCGAAAAATTATCTCGACAAAGTAAAAATAGTTGTTTGAACGATGAGTCGATACGATGTACATGTAATGCAGCAGCGTATTTGAAATGGGGTGAGCTCAAGGGGAGTGGACTTGTGATGGATTTCCAGGCGTGATTATGCGTGATATATGGACGACATTAGTTCCATGAGCTACGGCTTTGGGGCAAAGTAACAAAAATAGTGTTACTTATACATAATGGAGTTACATAATTGTTTACATATACATGATGTGTCAAAAAAAAAAAGTTGGAAAGATTTTATTTTTTTTATTGAAGAAATTCTAATACAATCATATATCATCATTATATATGTACATGTAGCACATCCAAATTAAGAATGACACTCTACATTGATTGATTTTAGGGTTGGAGTTCCCATGTTCAAGTCGACACTGAACAATTCTCATGAAATATGTACATAATGCAAGATCATGCTTGAAATGGGAGTGAGTCCAAGGGAAGCGGTCTTGGGGTGGATATAACTTGGTGGCAAGTGGATTACTTGTGTTGTGTGTGGATATAATTTGCAACTTTATGCGCAGTAGATCATTCGAGTGGATTACTTAACTTGGTACAAATTACAAGTCAGTACCATAATTGTGCTTCATATATGGACTACTAACACATGAATATTGAATTATTGTTTGCTTGCCATGGATTTGAATACAAAAATTTGGTAAAACTGGAGGCCTCAAAGTATAAGGTGGTAAGTGTTGAAAGTCAGGTACATGTTCAAATCTTGCCATTTCATTAACATGAAACTTATAAGGCGTAAATACTGTGTTTCTTTCTCATAAAGAGAATAAGTTGAAAATAATTATCATAAAAATAACATAATAATTGGAGTCTGTTGAACTTCTTTTTACCTGAATAGTTTTACATGCTTGTGTGCCAACCCCAATGGCATGCAAACATCTTGTTGAATTGGTTGAGAGATGTATAAGTTATAATTTTTTAAATAAAATCGAAAGACGATATGTAATCACGTACCTTAATTTTTTTTTTTTTCCGTGTTTCTCTTTTTTCATCACATTTTTTCTCGTTAAAACCAAATTTCTCTACACTGGAGACCCTTTTATTCGTGGGTGGATGTCCATGTCATCGACCAGTTAGAGGAATACGAAGTCCATTGTTTTCATCAAGAGCTTTATAAAAGTCAACAAACATTAACACTTGTCAAAGAATAAAGATGATTCATTTTTGTTTATTTTTTATTGAAATTCATCTTTAATGTTCCACTGCTCAGTTTTCATCAGAAATGACACTCATGTCAACAACCTCATCTAATTTCATTTGCAACTTCTGATAATGTGAACTCTCATGGTAACATTTTCAATAATCTTGAGTAACTTTTATCTTTGTGTGAGACATTTTTATATCGTTCATCCAAAGTGTCTAAGATGTTAGTTTCTAGAAATTTTTGAACATTGACGGTGCATTTGATTGTATATATTTTCCATCAAAAATATCAGTTTTCCATCCAAATTCATACTTTGAAGTGTTTGATCGTGTTGGGTCTCGAACCTGTGACCTGCCTGTTTGAATTGTGCTTTCAACAATTCTATTACTAAGTCGTGTTTTCTGGAATAACACTTTTATTATTAAGAGACAAAGGCTGGATTGTTGACACTTTGCACACCACTCGCCGCTGGATGAGATTCTAGTAAAAGTTTGATAAAATATATTTTTATTGTTTGCAGAACTCTGGAGTTAAAATTAGTCAAGTGACATTCAAAAATATTAAGGGAACATCATCTACACAGGAAGCAATGACATTTCGGTGCAGTTCGAGCAATCCATGCACCGGAATTAGACTGCAAGACATAATGCTTACATACATAAATAGTTCGAGAAAACCAACACTAGCAAATTGTGAAAATGCAAGAGGATCAAACAGTGGTACAGTTTATCCGAGGAGTTGTTTGTGAAAAAAGATTTTCGTCTGAAGAGCGTCTGCAAAACAATTCTAAACGCGTTGCGTAAGTTAGGTTGTATAGTACTAGATTTTAAAATATAAGTTAAAATCTAGTACTCCAAAGTAAAATATATATTTCCAAAGTTCAATGTATTAGATAAAGAGGCATGGGAGATTATCTTATTGTTTCAATATTGAAGTGTTAAAAGTCGTCCATTTTGCAGACCACTCATCTTGTTAATTATTACGTTTTTCTTATTTGCCACGTTACAATATGTTTAATATTTACAGTTAATAAAACAATACATTTCTTAAAATCAGTCACTTTGTCATGTTCAATTCTCTACTCTTTCGTTATTTTAATTCTTTTGAAATCCATATCCTTAAGTCAATACATATTCTTTGATTGTGACAGACTCGAGTACAGCACTTAGAATCAACAAGTAATTATAGAGAGAGGGGGGTGGGGGTGGGGTGGATGAAGATGAAAATAAGAATGTGTACTAGTGGTTGAAAAAATGTGAAACATTATAGTGCTCGAAAATGTATACTCAGGTCAAAAAAATGGTGCTTGTGCAAATATTAACTATCAGTCTCTGCCTCCTAGCTGAGAAAGTGTACTTGGAGTCGAAAAATTATCTCGACAAAGTAAAAATAGTTGTTTGAACGATGAGTCGATACAATGTACATGTAATGCAGCAGCGTATTTGAAATGGGGTGAGCTCAAGGGGAGTGGACTTGTGATGAATTTCCAGGCGTGATTATGCGTGATATATGGACGACATTAGTTCCATGAGCTACGGCTTTGGGGCAAAGTAACAAGAATAGTGTTACTTATACATAATGGAGTTACGTAATTGTTTACATACACATGATGTGTAAAAAAAAAAAGTTGGAAAGATTTTATTTTTTTTATTGAAGAAATTCTGATACAATCATATATCATCATTATAT